AAAAAAAAAAAGCAATTATCTGAATTATTTTCTTAATTGCCTCCATATATTGCTTCATTAGACGAGCCTTGCCTTAGACTCAAAGCAATAAATTAGCTACCTATTTCATTAATTCTTATTTTGTATTATTTAGTCTTATTTTAAATTTCCATCCTTCCTTAGGCAGACTAATTTCTTTCTAGTCCTGGGCATTTTCTGTGTGATATTATGATTACATGCTGCATGTTTTACGAAACCAAAGCAGTTTGAGGGCTCCTAGAATCAGAGATTCAAATGTACTCCAGTATTTCACACTCACAATTAAACTTTCATGTATCAAAGGTCTAAAAATGCATACCTGTTAAATACCACTCTCTGACAAGCTAAATGAACAGTGTCCTCTTGGCCAAGCCCCCAATCTACTTTATCAAGAAATCTCTTATTTTAAATCTTTAGCATAAAATAATTAAATAAGCCAAAAAGCGGGGGGAATTGTTTTTAGACTCTCGGTAAACCTTTAAACCCAAGAGAACATGTTACTATAATCACTAGGAATTGCATTAAGAATAAAACAAGACAGAATAACATAAAAGTCCATGACCCTTAAATCTCGACTAGTCCAGACTTCTGATTAAATATGCCTTTGAAGAAAAATTGTACAGACAGACCTATTATTATTTATTTAATGTATTAATGGAGATATTGACTGAGAACAGGCAGTGCTTTTGTTGCACTCAGAGACATCCAACTCCTAAATCCTTTAGGACACCGTCTACATGCCTTAAGCCTAAAACGCTAAACCAAATCCACCAATTTCTTTCCACCTCAAAACTGTCAAAAGGAAAGTCATAATTCATCAGAAAGAAAGGAACACAATTATTAATGGCAAAGAAGTCAAGACCACGTCTTTAAAAAATACAGTGAATCACTATTTTCTTTTAGCTTGAAATTGGACAAATGGAAAAATAAATGGCATTTCAAAAATGATTCAGCAAACACAACTGAGCTATAGAAGATGATGCTTCTAAGAATCCTAAGACATTCTTACCACTTCAAGTTTAAAATATAAAGAAAGCACTTCTCTAATATGTAGTCTAGTTTTCAGTGACCAACAACTACAATCAACACCACTGTAATTTATTTCGCAATCAAAACCAATTTCAGACACGTATAGGTACACCAAAAAACACAACTGATTTTGAAAGGAATTCATAGCTCTATTTCTAAAATATTAAAACAATCATAAGACAGCTCCCAACCTTGACTATACCTATATTGCTGTGCAAGTCTCAAAGTTCCACCCAAATCTTCAATTCTAGCCTTCTAGTAATTTAAATGGAAGTGCCCCTCAAAGAATTTTTCAGGCAAAAGATGAGAACAGCATCGTTTACTGATCTAAGAGATCGAAAAACTGCCCCCAACAAAATTTTGAAGCCATTTCTTAACAATAAGTATTTGATAGTATTTTTCACATTCAGTCCAACAGTATGCAGATTAATTCCTTGCCCTGGGCCTAGGGTTCAGACACAACTCCTAAGAATCTTCCAGCTTACTGCACTGGTACAAATTCCCGATACTTACCATAGTCATGGCTGTGCAGGAAAATGTGAACAGCTGAACATTCCAGCTGAAACAATGAGGTCAAAGCTCATTTCAGTATTAGCAAAAGTGATTCTCTGCTGAGATCTTGGTAGGGGATGCAAAGTACTGGCCTCAAGCCTGCAGGCTGGCACCTCAACAACTGCTGCAAATTCTACTGCATGCCCTGGCTTCCTGGGCCAGCACTGCTTAATTACTAGACTCTGATACGATGCAGATCACTTCGCAAAAGAAAAGCAAATGGGTTTTTAGACCGATACTTGAGTTGCTCAGTTTCAAATATTCAAATGTTCAAATCCTTAAAAAAAAAAAAAAAAAAAAAAAGATTTCAACATCTTAAGTTTAAGCTAAGGATTTTATTATGATTCAGAGCCCAGTTGTTTTCCACCACAAGACTGCCATGTGAAAAGACGATCCTTTTCCTAAATACTACAATTAGCTCTCATTGTCACCTTTCCCTTTTTGTCACCCCCAAACAACACTCCAAGATCACAAGAATCTATGTGAAACAGAGCTATGAAGAACAATACTCTTTTGCATTCTCAGGTTCAATGTGAGAAACCAATTTTAGTCACTCGCTTCAGCAAAGCTATCAGTACAAGCCATCGCCTACCGATTTCAAGATGATTAATATGTACAATCTCTATTGCTCTATGCCACAGGTAATTATCTGTTCCAATTTCACACTACATGTTTCTAGATGAGGTCAACATTTAGAAAACCATTAATATAGCACTACTGAGATAATAATATCCTAAAAAAGGATGTGCTAGTATTACTTTTAGCCAGTGTACATTTGCGAAAGTTTCCAATGAATGAAAAATGAGAGCAAATTGATCCGATGTCTGAAAACTGTTAGTAATGCTTTGATTAGGAATAACTGCAAGAGTGTACTTACAAACGGACAAGTTCTCAAAAGATGCATTTCTTAACACAGGTGGAGGGAAGCACTCAGCATTCAACCCTTTTTCCTAACCACAGAAAAATCAAAATTTGCAGATGAAACCTTTCTTTCACATCATTGGCAGAAATAAAATCCTATCCCCGACACCTCCTCTTGCAATTAAGGAAGTTGCTACAAACAGCAACATAGACATAAATGGCCCTGTTTTGCTCCATTCTTAAAGTACCCTCTAGGAGTAAAGAGGTTACTCGAAAAAGTCAGTAGCAGGAAAGCGATTTTCCCTATGCCAAACTCCCATGAAAATGAAATTCCCTTTTCTGGGGATTCTGAAGGGGAGAAACGTGGACGGAGGAGTCCAGTCGCAGTCTGCCTTCTCCCATGGGTTCAAGGTCTGAAGTGCTCAGTCCCCCGCGAGGCTTCAGATCAGCGATCGGCAGCATGGGCAGTAGCGGTGCAGCCTCATTCACCCAGCCCACCCTGACAATCACGCTCGCCTTTCAAACACCCTAAAAGGTGAGCTTTGTAGGCTGGGTCTCCAAAGTTTGCCCGGCCTCCGGTCAGCAGCCGCCTGCTGGCTGCGCCCCAGGCAAGGCAGAGTCTGGCCCTAGCCTCAGGCTCCCTCAGCCCCCAGCTCTTCTTTTGGGCCACGGTGACAGGTCTAGGTTTACCTCCATTTGCTCGTGGCAGAGGAAACAAAAGAAAGCAACCTCCCTGAGAATAAAACGCCATCTTCGACTAATTGGCAAACTAAGGGGTCCCCGGGTCGGCCGCCCCCACGAGTCCCCCACCACCCAGCCCGAGGGCGGCCCCGGTCTCAGGCAGAGTTTGAAACAGCTTCGGGAAGCCTGGGTGCAATTGTCCTGGGGGCGAGGGCGGGATACCTCGAGAGCCCTACCTGCCTCACCTCGCCGGCCGCCCGGGCACCGTGTTTCGGTGAAAAAGAAGAAGAGGGGTGGTGGCGTCTCCCAGAGATGTAACTAACCCCTCAGAAAATTGCTGTGAGGGACCTGGCGAAAGGACTGACGAGCAAGCAAACCGGCACGAGCGGAGCCGCAGCGAGTGTACTTACAAAACGATTCAGGCTCCGGCGGAACATCGCGTCGAAGGCGGCCGGGCGCTGAGCTGGGCTCTACCGGGCTGTCTGGGAAGGCGCCGTCCACAAAACACACTGCGGCGTGGGCCGGCGGCGCCAAGCGGAGCAGCGAGGCGGGCTACCGGGCCACCCGCTCGCCGCCTGCCCCACTCGGCTCTCCGCGCTCCGCCTCCCCACAGCCGCCCGCAGCCTCGCCGCCGCCCCGCCTCACTCGCGGCCCGCCCCGGGGGCGGCGGCCCCGGAGTTCGCCCTAATCTGGCCCGGGCGCCGCGGGCCGGCAGCTGCCGCAGCACCCACTGAGAAGGCAAGCCCGCCACGCGGGGGAAGGATGGCGGAGGAGCGCGAGGCTCCTCCTGTGGGGAGGGGGGCGCCCCGTCTCTCCGCCAGCACCAGGGTCGGCACTCCGCGAGCTGCACTTTTCCCCTGCGGGGCGCCACCGCCCGCCTCCCCGCTGCCCTCCGCGGCCACCCCCCTTGGGGCACGAGGAACCGTCCCGAGGCACGCCGCGCCTCACCTCGCCTCAGCCCGACACTACTCCCCTGTCTCAGTCGGGAGCCACAGCCTCCCTCGCCCCAGCCCTAATTCGTCCGCCGCGCCGCGCCGCGCGGTTTCACTCGCACCCCTCCTCAGTCCGCGGCTGCCGCGCCGCCCCCGCGCTCCGCGCTCTAGTCCCGCACTCTCGTCCCGTACTCAGGCAAGGAAGCCTCGGCTCAGCCAGCCAGCCCTCCCGGAGCCAGCCGACGGCCGGGCTCCCCCTTCCGGGCGGGGCGGAGCCGAGCTCTGAGGCAGGGCACCGTTTGGACCCCAGCGCGGGAGGGGAGGGGAGGGGAGGGGCGGGCCGGGGCGGGGTGCGAGGGGGGACTAGTTCTGAAAGCCCACCCTCATCTCCACGGGCGAGGGTCCCCCCTCAACCCTCGCTCTGCTCCACTCCCACCTACGCGGCTTTCCCTCCTCTTGTTCTTTCTCTCGTCCTGCCTCCCCACCTAAGCCTTCTTACTTCCACTTTCTCTGAGGTTGTAAAGTCAGGCTTTGTGTCGCCGCTGCTGCGCAGTGGGGCGGGATTTCCCTGCCCCCCGCCCCACCCTCAGGCCCCTCCCGCTCGCCCCCTCCCCCGCCTTGCTCCCGGGGCAGCCTGGGAGTTGTAGTCCCACTGTCCCCCTACTCCTGGTACCGCGGGCTGGGAGCTCCCCCACACGCTAGTCCCAGGTTTGCCCAGAGGGTTGAAGAAGGAAGTGCGGGCTGAACCGCGGGTTCTCCACGCCGGCCCACTGGGTGTGGAGGCCGGGTGTGCTCGGTAGCTTCCTAGAGGTGGGGACATGTGAGACGGGTAAATTAGGCAAAGCTCCGAACGCTGGGAGCTTTCCGTGGAACGCGAAATGTGCACACCAGGAAACCCTCGACATCCTCGGCCCCCAACTTAGAGCTGGAATTTACGAAACTTTTAAACATTGCAAAAGACAAGCGAGTCCAGAATTGCCACGAGGCTGGGCATCCCTCCCAACTATCACAACCCCACCCCTTTTCACCGCCCCTGAAGGCGGGGCCCAAGGCTGTGGCAGAACTTGCAGATTCTTCTATAAAAGTCAAAAAGAAATAAGTAAAGGGAGTTCAGAGACTTACACGAGACTTCCGCCTCGCCACATTCTCCTGCCAGTCTAGAGCTGGGGACAGGGCCCGGCCACACCACAGGCTTTCCCGAAGGTCGTGAAAGGCCTTTACTGCTAGGCACAGGTGCTTCTCCTTTACCCTCTGGAGTTTGGATTCATTTCAACAAACCTTTACTGGTCATTTTCTTTGTACCAGGCACTGTGCCAAGTCTGGACACAGCAATTTCTTAAAAGACCTCACCAACAGGGTGGTCGCAGTCTGGTTGGGGGATAAAAACAAGCGAAAACGCCACATTAGAATTTAATAACAGCTAGAGTTCAAAGTGCTAAGGAAATAGGGGAGAGGGACATTGCATCGGAAAAGAGGGTCTGGGGAGTTTTCCAAAAAGCTCTGGAGATTAAACTGGCCCTTGAAACGTTGGAAGGCTTTAGAGGACCTGACTGAGCCCAAGGGGACAAAAAGTCCAGGGTAGAGGGGGAGAGATCAGTGAAAAAGCACAGGACAAACTAAGAAAGAGATCACACCATAGTGGCAGACCACCAGGATGTGTAGGTAAGGGCAGCTCGAACGAAAGCTAAAATGTAAAATTCTTCAGAAACATGTTATAAAGTTTGAATTTCATTCTGTGATCAATGAGAAGCTCATCCCCGATAAAATGCAAATGCTGGAGACCTAAGGTTTGTTCCCAAACTGACTTAACTGCCAAGAAGTAAAACCAACCGTTTTCAATTCTTCCCCTATTATGATTCCTTCTCTTTGCTCACAGTTGAGCTTTTATCTAATGGTTTTTACGATTTATAATTTATATTAATCAGATATTACGATATTTTATTGACAAAATGGATCTAAAGCTTTGCTCTCTACTGCTTTAAAGATTTATTTTCAAATAGAGTTATTTTCTAGCTTTACTTTGTGTGTGTGTGTGTGACAGTCTCACTCTGTCACCCAGGCTGAGGTGCAATGGTGAGGTGTTGGCTCACCGCAGCCTCTGCCTCCTGGATTCAAGTGATTATCCTGCCTCAGCCCCCCAAGTAGCTGGGATTACAGGTGCCTACCACCACATCCCACTAATTTTTATAATTTTAGTAGAGACCGGGTTTCACCATGTTGTGCAGGCTGGTCTCGAACCCCTGACCTCAGGTGATCCCACCTGCCTCGGCCTCCCAAAATGCTGGGATTACAGGCATGAGCCACCGTGCCTAGCCTCTAGCTTTACTTTTATTGAATACAGCAACTACTTTAATTTCATTCACTAGTTTATATGTTGAATGATTACTACGTGGCAGACATTCTAGATACTGGAATTGGGATGTGGAGAAGGTTACTGTCATTTGTTCTAGGCATAAGTCTAGAATTCTTATCAAAATACATCCTTATCAGTAAAATAAGTAATAAACTAGTTTAGACATTTGGGGACGCAAGTGCTTGCTAGTGAATAGTAATATCGTTCCAAATTCAATTCTGTTAAACAAATGGAAAAATGTACTTTGCTTATAGATTCAGACAGATCAACTTTAAAAAAATTTTTTGACCAGAAATTTTTTTTGTTTGCAATATTCTCTCATACTTGCCCATTGTCATGTTACTGCAGCCTAATCACAGGAATTTTAAGATTCCTCAAGATATAGCAGTTTTGGGTTGGGCATGGTGACTCACATCTGTAATCCCAGCACTTTGGGAGGCCAAGGTGGGTGACCGGAGGTCAAGAGTTTGAGACCAGTCTGGACAACATGGTGAAACCCCATCTCTACTAAAAATACAAAAACTACCCGGGCATGGTGGTGAGCACCTGTAGTCCCAGTTACTTGGGAGGCTGAGACAGGAGAATTGAAACGCTTAAACCTGGGCGGCAGAGGCTGCAGTGAGCCGAGATGGAGCCATCACACTCCAGCCTGGGTGACAGGAGCAAAACTCCACCCCCCTAAAAAAAGATATAGCAGTATTTTTTATCATATTTTTCTTATAATTCTGTTATTTATTTGTTCTCTCAATTTATTGTAATACAATACCTATACTGATGGGTCCAGTCTAATTTGCTCTACTATAAAAATGCAATTCCAGGCTAGGCACAGTGGCTCACACCTGTAATCCCAGCACTTTGGGAGGCTGAGGCAGGCAGATCACCTGAGGTCAGGAGTTCGAGACCAGCCTGACCAACATAGGGAAACCTCGTCTCTACTAAAAATACAAAAATGAGCTGGGCATGGTGGCATGCACCTGTAATCCCAGCTACTCGGGAGGCTGAGGCAGGAGAATCACTGGAACCCAGGAGGCAGAGGCTGCAGTGAGCCAAGATCGTGCCACTGCACTCCAGCCTGGGCAACAGA